CGCTCCGGTCTTCCCAGCCTCGGGCGGCAGAAGTGGCCCCCGGCGTCGCCGTGGCCTCCCTGCCCCTCCTGGGGTTCCGCGCTCCAAGCCCATCTGCTGGGTCTATTCCACAATCTACCTCCACGACCCACTGGCACCCCGCCTAAGGCTCTTCCCATGCCCGGGGGCTGAGTCTTCCCTTCGGACACCACCCCCTAAGTCGCTTACCTCCTGGTGCCGAAGGGCCCACCTGTGCTCAGCGAGTTGAGCCACTGTAGTGTTCTTGCCTCCACTCTTGGCAGGTGGCAGTAGTAAGAGCTGGAGGCCGGAGGTTAGTCCAAGTGCTTATTCAGGGAGCCAGGAGGCCGCCTGAAGTAAATGATGACACGTTAGCGGCAATAAACTCTGGACTCAGAGCAATGAAAATAGGTGATCGAAAGTATTTTTAGACATGCTAAGTTTTAAATGTTCTTTCCATGCATCCTTTCTCAGAAAAACAACTGGAGAATGTGCTCCACTGCAACACAGGAGTGATGAGGGGTCTGACAGCAGGGAAGGTGACACCCAAGACCACTGTGGTAGGCAGAGGGGCCCCGAAAGGTCCACACCCCACTCCCCGCAGCCCGGGAATATGTTACAGTTCATGGCGAAGGGGACTCTGCTGATGCGATTGGTTATGGACCCGAATGGGAAGAGTATCCTGGGTTGTCCAGGTGGACGATTCTAATCGCACAATCCTTTAGAGCAGTGGTTCTCAACCTTGGCTGCACATTAGAATCACCTGGGAATCTTTTTAAAATCCTGATTTCTGGGCCTCACCCTCCGGAAATTCTCTTTCTTTGTTACTAATGTTGTCGCCCCACCCCATAACAAAGAAACAGAATTTCCAGAGGACGAGGCCCAGAAATCAGGATTTTAAAAAGATTCCCAGGGGATTCTAATGTGCAGCCAAGGTTGAGAACCACTGGGTAAGAAATTAAGATAATTGTCTTTAAGGAGTTGATCCCCCGAGGGTCGTGCAGAGAGCCGTGCAGAGCCCTGCCGTGGAATGTGACAAGCGTTTGGGAGCAAATTGAGGGCCCCAGCTGGCCGAGGGCTTTAGATAGGGCAGGTGGGGGGGAGGGGCAGAGTTTTCTTCCAGTTCTTAAATATAGAAGAGAAACCCAAAGGAAGACATCAGTTACACACACTCACACTTCATTCATTCGATGGCTTCTTAGCTTGCAGCCGGAGATGGGGCTAAGGACCCTTTCCTGCCGGCATAATCCCAGTCAGCGGCCGGAAAGCCAGTGCTTGGGCTAGACGGGTAAGCAGGCCTGCGTTTGTCCTTAAGTTAAGAGTCTCGGGGGTCCAAGGCCGGAGCTCGAGGTGGGGGGAGTATTGGTCCTGCGTCCGAAGTGGCAGGAGATGGTCGGATTCAGAGTTCGGGGTCCCGGCTACCGGAATCGGAATAAGCGCCCCGCAACGCCAGGCACCCGCCAAAGACACGCCCTTCCGCCTTTCCGGCGTGCGACCCGGAAGCGGAAGGGAACTCGTTTCTCTTTGCCTCCGGAGCGTCTTCCCTGCGTTGGTCTGGCGGGAGGAGAGCCCTGAGCGCCAGGCCTCCGGAGCGTGCGGTTTAGGGGAGCGGGTCGCCGAACCCCAGAGCAGCCGCCGCCATGGCGGATGTGACCGCCCGGAGCCTGCAGTACGAGTACAAAGCGGTGCGTGGGGGCTCGCGGAGGACTCGGGCTCCGAGCCCAGTGGGGAGGCGGGGGCGGGGAAGGCGGTTTAGGCCTGAAGGCCTAACAGCGGTTCTCAACCTGTGGGTCGCGACCCCTTTGGGGGGTCGAACGATCCTTTCACAGGGGTCGCCTAAGACCATCGGAAAACACATATATAATTACATATTGTTTTTGTGATTAATCACTGCTTTAATTATGTTCAATTTGTAATAATGAAATGCATCCTGCATATCAGTTATTTACGATTCATAACAGTAGCAAAATTACAGTTATGAAGTAGCAACGAAAAGAATTTTATGGTTGGGGGTCACCACAACATGAGGAACTGTATTAAAGGGTCGCGGCATTAGGAAGGTTGAGAACCACTGGCCTGGGAGGACCACGCAGGCGGGGGGGAGATCCGATCTCTGAGCGCGGTACCCGCCCCCTCCCAGATGTCACCCCATCATGCCCGGCACTTTCCCAGGGGTGGGGTGGGGGCCGCGGTAGGAGCCGCATTGCTCTACTGATTTGCTCGCCCTTTGCTCACGTGCTATTATACGATGCTCTCCTCTAGGAAAACATCTTTTTATTCCGACTAGTGATCATCAGTGCTTAGTCGCTCTGATTTTTACTTTCTTTGTTATTATCCTTGTGATGTAGGAATTGGCCCTGCTCACATCAGAGCTTTGATAATATTGTGATCTGTTTCAGAACTCGAATCTTGTCCTCCAAGCTGACCGTTCTCTCATTGACCGGACCCGTCGGGATGAACCCACAGGAGAGGTGCTATCCCTGGTTGGGAAGCTGGAGGGCACCCGGATGGGAGATAAGGCCCAACGGACCAAACCACAAATGCAGGAGGAAAGAAGAGCCAAGTGAGTACCCAGGGGAGAATGATTTTTCTTCAGATGCAAAGACCATCTTCCTTTGAGCAATTGAGCAGCATTTTTGCTGAAATGCTGGGTACAGTTTGAGACATCAGTGGCATTAAAACAACATAGTGAAGGTAAAAACAACATGAATTTAGAAGGTTCTTTGGCCATAACAAGTGTCCCTGAAGTGGAAAACAACTTTTAGACTTTTATTCCATTGCATTTAAAAAAGTATTTGCTGTCCTTTTTTCTTCTTCTTTTTTTAGGAAGTTTAAGGAAGATGGCAGAATTCACCTTCTTATGCCCTTTTAAGTAATTTTTAAAAAGTGATTTAAGTGGAAAAAGGTGTTTGCACCTTATCAGATGTATATGACCCTATGCAAACACCAGCCAGCTAAAACCCTGAGTGATCCTTGAGCTTTGGTTTGCTACCAAAACTACCCAAAAAGTTAGTTTATATTTGGTACAGTACAGTTCATCTCTATACAGTTTTTTAATCAGGTATATATATATGAGAAAAATCTCTAAAATCAGTTAATGCATCAAGTAAACTCTATGGTCTTTGGACATATAAAAAAATAAAATAAAACCCTGTTGTCTTCAGCAGCCTACAAACAAGAGTTCTTGAACATACGGACAAATTACTTTTCAAATGCACCCTTGATTGTAGTGTTGAAGTCTGTACACATACAATCAGTACTGAATCCAAAATGCATTAAGAAAGGAAAAGAATTTGTTCAGTGCCGAAGAAATTCATAGGACACTTTTACCTTTGATCTGTTTCTTCTTCCCATGATTCTCTAAATCAGAGGTGGGGAACATCTGGCCCTGGGGCTATATAAGGCCTGCAAAATCATTTGGTCTGGCCCTGCCAAGGCAGTAGGGGTGAGTTAATTAAATGTTTTTACCAAACATAGCAAGCTAATTTTTAAGTTGATAATTTTGTATGTCCTGAGAATGATGTTATAAGTGTCCAAATGACCCTTGGCAAAAGAAAGGTTCCCCACCCCTCTTCTAAATCATGGAAGGTTACATATAAATATATGGATACGGACTCAGATGTAGATATAGACATGAAGTCATCTGAGTTATATAAAAGGTTTCAGCACAATAAGAGGATATAAAGGTCATTTTTTTAGTGAAAAGATCAATTAAAATCATTGTGCCATAAAATGCCCCCAGGAGTAAATAGAGAGAAGTCATCACATTTGAAATTTTAAACTCCACATACCCAACCCCAGTTCATTGCTAATTTTATTTATTTATTTATTTATTTATTTATTTTTATATATTTTATTGATTTTTCACAGAGAGGAAGGGAGAGAGATAGAGAGAGTTAGAAACATCGATCAGCTGCCTCCTGCACATCCCCCACCGGGGATGTGCCCGCAACCCAGGTACATGCCCTTGACCGGAATCGAACCCGGGACCCTTCAGTCCGCAGGCCGACGCTCTATCCACTGAGCCAAACCGGTTAGGGCCATATCTGCATTTTTTATGTGCCCCCCAAGTCCCCACTTCTGCCGAGAAGTGAGCCAAGTATCTCATGGGTGCCTCCCACGAACAAGCCATGTTCCAGATATTGCTTTTCCCAAAGGACCCTGTATTCCACTCAGCAAGTTTCCACGTCTCCATGTTTACTGCGCTCCCATCCCAACTAGCCCGTAGCCGACAGCCGTCACATTCATCTATTTAGACAAACCCAGCGTATCCCTGCTTCTCCCCCAGCCCCCCAGTCCTGACTGGTGGCCCTTACATCTGCCCTGTCGATCCTAGTCCTGTCTGCATTCCATCTGATGGAAGGAACGTCCCCCATCAGGCGCAGTGATCGGTACTGAACATCAGCGTTGTTATTATTGCGTTGCAGCCGATTTAAACTGTGCTCGCGAAAGACGCAACGATTTTTTGAAAGCCCTGATTTCTGGAGAGATTTTCACTTGAAAGTGCATTGTGTAAAAAAAAATAAACATAGAACATTTCCTTTTAGTAGAAACAGTGATGGTTAAGGTCCCAGGCAAGTCAATAAAATCCTACTAACCCAGAATTACACAAAAGAGCACTTTTTGCCCAACAGAGCCACTCACTGTTCTCAAACACAGATTGCTTCCCCATCCGTCTCTGCTGGAT